ATAAAACGGGTCAAAATCGAATGGATTAAAATATCGAATAAAACGGGTCAAAATCCTGGGAATTTTATGATGTTTTATGAAAACTCCTTGGATTTTTGCTAGAAAGATCAGAAAATCTGAAAGTCGGCCATGTGCAACCACCGCATAAAACCTTCGCATAGTTAGCTGAACATACTCCTTGAAAATTCACTTTTGGGTCCTTGTACACTCCTTGAATAGTCCTTGAATTTTAAGTCGTTACCTCGGCACGAACCCTGGATAAAGTATCTTGCGAAGCAAACGCCTCTTTTTATTAGACACGCGCGCGCGTAGTGTGCTCAAAGATGTTCTGATTGAAGAAAAGTGATGGATGCCACATAGCGCAAACAGCTACAGAAATGTTCTGTATAGACCCTATTTGAAGGATACATTAGTATTTAAGATAAGGTTATTTTTTGCAATGTAATGTTAAAAATTGGATGCACTTTTTTACTGATACGGCGGCCATCTTGAATAATGGGACCGACACAAAACTTCTACAAAGCGTGGAGTCAAGATGTTACGTTTTCAAATAATTGGAAGTGGTGCTACTAACAAATTCAATTGCCTTTTAAATATGTTCTTCATTGAAAAACGTTAAGTTATATAAAAAGACACCCTAATAGCTGTGTAGTCTACAAATGTTCCAATAGTTGCTCCCTCGGCATCCACAATAGAATTCAAGATGGCCGCCCCATGGGTAAGAGGTCTATTGTGTCTTGATGGCTCGCAGAGTGTCTTAGGTTGGACAAGTGCGGAACATCAATAAAAGTGTTTATTGAAATTGTATCATAACATTTCAGATACAGCGCTGAAGGTGACTACCTAGTAAACGCATCAGTGTACAACAAACTAACAAGCAAATGGTCTTCGACGTTCGTGAAAATAGAGGAACCAATTGAAGTTATTATCTTAGAGATAGAACGCTCACCGTGCGATCAAATGTATGGAAAACCCGGTGGAGGTCCGCTAAACAACATGTTTCCTGTCGAGTGTCCGATGATATTCAAGATTGCACATATGGATGGTACTCGCCCTAATGTAGAGTGGAACTTTGGTGATAACCAAATCCAATTAATGAACAGTAGTGTTCGCACCCAAACTCATACCTGTGCTCAGGAAGGTTTGTACAACTTCACGGTCAAGGCATTCAATCAGATATCATCTTTGTCTTCACATCTAGTGTACGAGTGCAGACCAAGCATCAAATGCACCATCTATGAAGACTCCCCATTCCTGACCTACGAGCCTGCTAACATTACCTTACATATCGAAAACGCAGATTATCTAACAGCTGTTCTCATAGACTTTGGAGACGGAGAGTTTCAAGTAGTTGGTGCCAGTGCAAGAAAGAATGACTTTCCGGGATTCCCATTTAAGGTCATCGAACCTATAATAGGTAATATCACAGTGACTCATTTGTTTGCCAAGGAGACAGAATTGAGAGTTGATTGCAATGCAACTAATGCTGTTTCACGTTATGAGTATATAAGAACCAACGTCGTATCACTGCATAAGCCATGCAGGAAGCCTACAGTAAAAATATTAAGCGTAGGAACACATGTAAATATGAGTCACGTGAGAAACGAAACTCGGGAACATGACCTGATCATTACAACAAATAACGTTATCGATTGTATAGCCTCCAGAGAAACGATCTTCAACTGGAACGTGTACTTACACCATGGATCTGGAGTACCAGATACACTTCTTGAGCACCCTTTGTGGAAGCTAAACACATCCAAGTTGATTATTCCAAAACGAACTCTTCCAATAGGGATAATTCGCATTGAATTTGTTCTACGAATGGTTCATTCAATCGTAAGAGGTGTATTAGGAAGAGCAGATGGCTTCATTACTATATCACCTAGCCCAGCTAAAGTCTTTATTCCTGGAGGTGAACGTCGAAGTGAGGATAAAAATGGACTAAAGACTATCGGTGCTGACTTTGTTGATTTTGATGCTCCTCCTGGTAACATAACAAATGTCACATGGGTGTGGTTCGTAAAGAAAGATAATGAAAGCCTTCCATTCATAGGTATAACAAATCTGACAAACCTGCAAAGCGTGGTACAAGTGGATGGTTGTTTTGGGTACGGTACTGGTTTATTACCCTTCTCGTTGTCGTCTTTTGAGTACAACTCAAGTCTGATAACTACCAGACAAACTTGTCATTTAGAAGTGATTGCTACCAAAGCACAAAGAATTGCTAAAAAACAACAGCAGATAGAGTTCTATCCAGTATTCCCTCTTCCCAAGTTACTTATGGTGTAAGTATACGTATTCATGATTATATCTTCTCATTACAGGCTCTGCGGGAGGGAGGGGCGGGGGTTGGCTCTGGACCCGTTACCTCCATCGGGTCGTCCTTCACGAATTTGCAAGATGTGATCTTATTTGAGGGCACACATGTGTAGAACAATAGAAAACAATGACCTTTCCCCAACCCCGCCCCTAAACCTAACCAATCACAGGGGACGTTGCAAATTCGTGAAGCCTAACCCCCTCCATCCTCAAATCCCACAAACAAGAAAGCACAAATACCCAATACCCTCCTCCCCCGACCCATTCCAATATTGTGCGCGGTTAGGACGTTTCCTTTATTCATAACTTAAATATCATATATCGTAGATGTAAGCTCAACTGCGACAAGGTTAATCCAGTAGAGATCGTATCTTACGAGGGTTTGTCACTAAACATGGACTACACTGAACTAAACTTTGAATGGCAACTGTGGAGTGAGGGAAATATGATTGATCTTAATGGCAAGACTTTATCCAGCCATCTCTCAAGAAATTTGGTCTTGGCAAGTGGAATACTTGAAGGAGGAAAATATTACAAGCTCATCTTATTTGCTTGGAAGAAAGGTGAGACATTGATTCTCAACTATACCTTAATTTGCAAGATTTTTTTCGTTTTTATTTTTTATCTTTTTTCGTGGTAAAAATATCTGGACAAAAAAAACTGAATAGTCCACTTCCGAGATATGCTTCGCTTGTCACACACAAAGGTTTCAGTACGAGGCTACGTGCAAAGTTAAATATATTCTTTTCTCCTGTCACAAATCACTGAGCTTTATGCACCAAGTCTCGCATTGAAGTGGGCTATTGTGATTGACGTGACAGGGCAGAAAAACGGTTTTTGGCCTTTCGCCATAAGGACAGCTTTACATATTTAAGCTCAATATTTTGTAAACACGTTCTTTTGAAGCCAAATAGCAAAATTTCAAATAAGACCAAAAATTATTGAATGCGTAATTGACATATAAAGCCGTGTACTTTGGGAGAGGTGTTACTTTGATCAGCAGAAAAACTGATATTTTCGTGAATACTGATATATAGCCTTTACTCTAATTCGACAAAATTTCGTCACAAGTTTCGAGCAGCAGTGACACAAGTGAAACACTTAAAAATTTGGAGTATTAAACTCAGTTAAGTTTTTCTGCCCTGTCGATTGACGTATAAGAGAGGACTCATCTTCTTGGCTCGGGGTGTAAGACAAGCTCGAGCACAGTGACCATAATCAGTAGTGGCTACGTTGATGCGATGTAATCAGAAATCCTTCCGCCTGATAAAAATTATTATCCAACCATTAGTGACATTGACAGTGATAGTGACATTGATAATGTACATTAGAAACGAAGTTTAGACCCGACAAAAAGTATGATTTCTTCTGAAATCTGTTATTTTCCTTCAGGGGACAAAGAGAATAAAGGATTTATGGAGACGCTTTTCAAAACCAACGACTTCCCACGTGGAGGAGAATGCGCCATAAATCCAAGCATTGGTTATGCAGTCAAGACCCCTTTCCGACTCAACTGTGCGGGATGGATAGACGAAGATCTGCCCATCACTTACCGAGTAACAATCGATTTCGAGATCGAAAGATTTATGTTTTCGGGTCGTGAATTAAACCAGCCGATTTATCTTCCTTATCACCATAGTCATAACACAAGCAGTCTGAATTTGAAAGTGTACATCATAGACAGATATGGAAATTATAATGTGACGACGGTCAGCGTTGAGGTAACCATGTTAATTATGGGAAGCTTACTCTTACCCTTCCCTAGTATCGTACTACGTCACTCGTAAGTGTCTCTTCCCCCCACACAATTGTTGCTCTATTTCAGATCACATGACCATTCCCACGTGGTTTGGCTTAATTTTTACCCATTTCAGATCACATGATCATTCCCACGTGGCTTGGCTTAATTTTTACCCATTTCAGATCACATGACCATTCCCACGTGGTTTGGTTTAATTTTTACCCATTTCAGATCACATGACCATTCCCACGTGGTTTGGCTTAATTTTTACCCATTTCAGATCACATGGCCATTCCCACGTGGCAATTAGAGTAACAGTCGACAAAGCCTTCATCAACCTTTTCTTCAAATAGTCGTATCATTAAAATTTATTTTCTTGTATTTAGATTCACACATTTGAGGACCCAATGGAAAGCATAAACAAAGTACTAAAACCAAACGGACCCCTACTAAATGAAATCTTAGGTGGAAATACACAGACAGCTTCACAGCTACTAAGCTCTGTTGCTTCAGTCTTAATTCATTCGGCAACAGAAGCAGGAAATGATACTGACCGCCTTAAAAACATAGCAGAGGTTAGTGTGTTATAGAGCAGTTGTTGTATGACTGAAAAAGACGGTGCCGTTTGCGTGCCTTGCTGCGACAGTGATGTTTTCTAGAACTTGATTGAGAGCTGATTTTTTTTTCACCCAATCTAATTGGTCTGGCAGTTCCGTGACATTGGCGTATCCATGTCCACTCATTGTTAATACCTTTTTTCGGGCATTTGATTGGATGAAGAGTAATTTTCTGTGACAGTTTACTGGGCTGGCGTATTCCTTGCTATGTCACGACCGTGTTGGTGCCGTGAGATTTTCACAGTCATACTAAAACTGTTCTAAATAGTGGATGTAACGGAAGTGCGTGTGAAAGAAACTCACGGAAGAGCCCCTTACCGAGACTGATATTTATGGAAGAAGAGCCACTCTATTTAACCACTGTAAATTCCCATTTGTTTGGATTCATTTTATTTATTTTAATGTCCGAAATGACAAAACGTATTGATAGTATTATTTGTTGTTTGGTTTCTTCAGAGATTAGAATACTTCATTGACATCGCGGCACAGATTCCTTCTCAGCTTCCAGAAGATGTCCTGGCAATCGCCGAAAGTTTGGTGGAGCTAACTGCCAAACCTGACTTGTTGTCTCATAATACCCTGGTGAGTTTAATTTACTTTATAATGATTCAATTTACTTTATAAAGAGAGCACAATCAATCCCTTACTAGGACTGTGAAAACGTCTATTTTTTGTGTCCCTTTCGGTTAGCTCAGTTGGCTGGGTATCGGTCTGTTGTGCGCGCGCACTCAGAGTCTTAAAATATCTGAGTAGAAGGTGCCGCCTTTGCTCTAAAATACATCTGCAAATGGTTAAACCGAACGATTCGACTGGATATTCAGTAATCTTGTTTGCAGTGAATAATCCTGCAGATATCGTCAACCAGCTCCGTGATTGTTCCGTGCCTTCATCTTCCAGACAAACAAAATGTAGTTGTTCCATACTATGATCAAATATCGCGTGACTGTAGAACCTAGTTTGCAGTTGCAAATATGCATTAAAAACATAGCTCAATTTGAGTCGTTTTTCAAATGCACTCCGTTACTCATGTCGCGCTTTTATTGGAAAAAAGTCAATATTGTTGCACAACATGTGAGTTGAGAGTTAATAAAAAAATAAAAMACCTTATTTAAGTGTCAATGTATTTAGTTTATACAACCAATTGGGGACACTGAAATGAAACTGAAATGAAGAAATAATCAAAGAAACATAAAGCTGTATGTATAGAATATCTAACGCAGTAGTAGTGTGTGTGAGTGGCATTGGGCCAAAGTGGAAACCAGTAAACATATATTGAAATTGTATCCCACTGTAAAAAAAGTTATTTAAGTGCCGTGACCGTGACCGTGACCGTGACCGTAACCGTGACAAAGCCGTGTGGTTTACGATTTTGATTCGAAGAGCGTTATATTATTATTTTTTGTATTTAAGGGACAAGCAACAGTTGTATTCGATAAGATGCTAAATGTTTTGCTCGAAACAAAAAACTACGCAAACGTTGAGTTAATAGAAATGGCAAGCATGAACATCCTAGGTGGAATCGGTAAGAAATCTCTATACTATATGTATGTACTATTATAAGATGGTTTTGAGTGCATTACCATGGAAGTTCCCAAGAGTCACTCGTATTCACGGCTAGTATGAAAAAACTATACTTCGAAATGTCTATTGGGAAGAAACAGTTGTAACCGCCTATTATACAACACTTCTTATGCATCTGTGGCGGATTTAGGGGGGTTCATTGGGTGTAAATGAACCCCCCTCTTCCCCCCGCCGGCTGGTACCTTGGATTTTTTAAATAAATAAAAAAAAGTATGGTAGATCCGCTTTTTGAAAATTAGCACCTTCGCCCACAATAATCGGGCCTGGACTGGTGGATAGGTTATCCTTATCAAGAGCGCCCCTAGGCCAGTGATGTGCCTCATGGGAAAAATGATGATGCAAGAGAACGTTATTGTTGTGCCGAGATTTGCAAAAATGAACCCCCCCCCTCTTAAAGTCCTGGATCCGCCACTGTGCATTCTGATTGGTTGTATTTTCAATGGTGTGGGATGAATAGATCTTATTGGACGGTGTAGGGTGCAGTACGAGTGGATATTGTTTGGAGTCTGCAGTATTTTGTCGAGTTTATCACATCGAACAAATCGATGTTTCCTTACCATTTATTATTATGACTAACTTGTTGCTTAATTCGTTTTTTCTCTGGTAATAGGTAGTATAATGATGAGTAGCTCCATGCATTTGAGTAAAAGTATGTCATCTGATAGTTCTGCAACTGGTTTTTCCACGGCCGAGGTAAATAGAGCTATGATATAACACGAACTTTGATTGATGATGACCTGAACTTCCATTCATGTTGGTTATATATCTTTCATTATACTCTTTTCGTAGGCAAAGAGAATTACAAGTTCCTTGTTAAGTTCTATGGATAAGATATTTAATCTTCTACGCGATAACCTTCTTGTGGGACAGAACTATACCGTAAGTTCAAGTACTTTTAACGTACCTCGAGGATATCAGTTTATGATGAAAAAGATACTGCTGCCGCTGCCACCATTGTCACTATCATCATTACTATAGCCATCGCCTTAAGAGACAAAAAAGCAGATGAGACGCGAGATATATATGCCTTGACCAAATGATTATTAAATCAAGGGTGGTTCCTTCACGTTTAGGGTCGCAGGTTTTATTTATTTCTGGACTCCACATCACGTGTGATTAGAAATTTGTCAGTAGGTTCGCTCTTTTGATTTTTCGTCTGTTTGTTTATTACTTGTTTTTACTTTGTCAATTATTTATTTCTTTACAGATGCTCGACACACCTTATTTAGCACTTCTGACTGGAATCAAGTCGGTTGGGGAACTCAATACAACGCCACTTGGGTTAAAAGACAGTTCGTTTAAACTCCCTGATATGCAGTCTGAACTCAACCTTTCTTCACAGTTTCAAACGATAGTAGAGGTATGCGTTTCTTATTTCATTACTAATGAGCAGGTGTGAAAGCCAAAGACTTCCTTTATGTCATGTGACTAATTAATGGGCTCCATCAATCAACCCATCCATGCATCCATCCATGCATCCATGCATCAATGCATCCATCCATCCATCCATCCATCCA